CGTCGAAATATTTATATTCGATTTATAGTAGTAATTGTAGTCATGCCAACAACAAAAACAACAACAATTTGCAGCGAAGAAGAATCAGCAGTAATACGAGAAAATTGCGATACGCCAATGGCGACCCCAACAAAAACAATAACAACAACAACAACGTCAAATGCAGCAGCCACAACAACAACATTGCACAGGGAAGAAGAAGCAGCGGCAGCCAACAAAACAAAAACAACAACAATATTAGCCGCTGCAGCGGGATGCCACAAGCCGTTATTCTTCAGCCGCCGCTTCCAGGACAAACGGAACTTCAGTTCGCTGCCGCTGTTCGTTTACGCGACCTCCCCATCGACACACGCCCACTCGGCGGACGGGGTGGGCGTGGCCAAAGAGGCAGCCGCATTCAGTCATAAGGTGAGTTTGATTTATGCTTTACAATTTTATATATAACTCCTAAGGGAACTAAACGATCTCTACAGAATTTGATACATCCACATAAAAGTTAAAAATATCAAAAATACAAAGTTTGATCACACTAACTTAAAATATATTTACATAAAAAAAATGGTTACAAACAAAGCTATTTTTACTACAATATTATTTGTTGATCTTATTAATACATGCGTAAACTGCAATAACAACCTTCCAAAAAATCAATCCTTGATAGAAAATATTCAATTCAATTTCTGGAAACGCAACCATACTCGACTGCTTTGATACCCAAATACAACATTCATAAAAATAGTTCCCCTTTTTTTTTTTTGGATTACGAGTAACATAATATTGATAATCTAAACCACCATCACAAGTGTTAATAAACGCTTCCTTACATACAGTATAGTACATACTTTCACAAAAAAAAACACTATTCTTTTATTATAAATGCGACATGAAGTAATATATAGTATTAGTTAGTTGGGCCTGGTTTGGTGGTTAAAATAATAATACACCCTAAAGGTTTTACCTATTTCCACCTTCCTCTCTACATCTCTTTTTCGAGCAGTGGCACCCGCTCTTTCCGTTCTGAACTTGCGTAATGGATCACTTCCGCTGCACTTTCAGCTTGAGTCGTGCCATATCTGAATTTATAATTCCCGCCCAATGCTTATTTCAACAGTAAACACTAGGTTAGGGGATCACGATATTTGCTTCTTATTTGGAGTCCAATTTATAAAAATTAAAGGAAAAATAAAAATAATTACAATTTTAGTTAGGCTAAATAATATTTTATTTTGATTTTACTTTTATATATACATGTTTTTTGTATTTATTATATAATAAATATTTTAAAAAATCTGCAGATAACATATTTCCTCAGTTTAAATCTGACGGTTCATACAAGTTTTTCTAAAAAAGATCTGTACATGTTTGCTTTGTTCTAGCTTATAACTACTGTATTTAACTTTTAAAGTTCTGCTTGGTTACCGCACTTCCCGCACCCTTCCTCTTCGCCTCTTTGTTCCTCTCGAAAATCGGTGCATGCAGAATCAGATCTCCATTAAAAATGCGTTTTTAATGTTAATCAAAAGCGGTTTAAAAAATGTTTACTCTGCGTTTTTTTTCGGGCTGTTTCTGTATTTATATCAGTATCTTTTTCGAGTTTCTGCACTGCGGTGATCGCTCAAACGTGTCAGACATTAATGAGCCAACCGCCAAAGCCGAGCGTAACTGTGCTTTGTCTCATTTTCGGTGGCGAGAGGGGAAGGTGGCAGGGGGAGCGGTCGAGAGGGGGCGGGATGGTCGGGATGGGCGGTATGGGCAGGTGGTTACAGGTGCAGCCATTGACTGGCGAAGCGCTCTCCTTTGTTGCCTCCCGCTTACGGTTCGTTCTCTCTTTCTGCCGCAGACTTCCCTCTCTGTCGCGCACTGCAACGCTTCACTTGTGCCTGTGGTTGTTATTTTTGTTGCAGTTCAGTGAGTTGCGACTTGTGCGCCACTGCTCATAAGCTTCATTAACGGACGGCCAAGGCAGACAACAAAAGCCAGCAAAGCTCCCGAAAAATGTTTGCCACTATTTTTCGCCCCGCCTCGGTTTTTTCCGAAGCTATTCACAATTTTACTGGCTGGAAAAATCGGTGGCTATGTCCGGAGACATCCTATTGTTTATTTCCTTACCATATAAAAAAAAACTTTAATTACGCACCGAGTTGGCAAAAAAAAAACAATGCAATTTTATTTCTACATCCTTCTATTTATTTATTATTTTTTAATGGATTATATTTTAATACTTTTTTTTTTAATTTTTATAGTGGATTATCTAAAATGTTAGAATGAAAAGAGCAAAAGGCTAATTATGTAAAGCGTATAAAAGTGTTTTTATGTACTTTTATTTTCTTATTGTTTTTTGTTAGTTTTTCATTAAAAATCTATTTCCTTTTCATCTGTAAAATGTGCATGGTACAAAAAAGTTAAAAAAAATAAATGCTATAACATAATAAACCATAATGTTAAAACAAGCAACACATAAATATTAACCATTTTAGTCACATAGTTTAATAAATAAAATGACATGTTCAACCAATGTTGGGCAGCCCATAAAAATCAGTCACATCATTAAATTTCCATATAGTTGTAATATCTAGTAAACCTTTTTTTTATTACCTACCTCCAATATTAGTTTTATTATTCAATTAAATAGAAAATCAATTTGCATTTCAAATATTTTCTTTACATATTTCTCATGCTTTCTTTTCAAACTTGACGATCAGATCGTTTGACACTCTTTACTGGTGTAAGCGCTTTCTACCGTGGGTTTTCCGAAAAATGTCCAGTGGGTGTGGCATAATCGTATGTGTCATGCCCCATCCGATATGTTAGGAATGTTCGTGGGCGATATTTTGAAAATACAGTGGATCAGGAAACTTGTTGATAGCTTGTATAAAATCAAATTTAAAAAATTCCATGTTATAAGAACTAAGTTGTTGTATATTTCAATATTTATCTTGCCCTTTCCAGGTGGACCAAAAAGTGTAAATAGGGCATTGAATAGCCATTACTTTTCTTAAACACTGTGACCACTGTCGGTCATGAACTGAAAGTTTCAGCCTCTGTTGTTATAATACAATTACGCTGCATTGCTGTTAGATCAGCCCCTTTTTTTCTTGCCCTCTATGTCGGGTGTTGTTTACATTTTCAAATTTAAATCAATTTTGTTTCTGATTGCGGTTTAAGTGGCAGGTTCCAGTCCACAGTTTTCAGTTTGCGGCCCCATCTCTTTTCTTTCTTTATGTTTATTGCTGCCATATGTGTTTGGTATCTGGATCTGTATCAGTCTGTGTGGCATTCTCGTGTTGTCAAACAATGCGCATATGGATACTGTATCTGTATCTAAATAAATGTATCTTTTATTACCCATATATTGTGAGACAGTTGTTTTGGGTGCAGCGCAAACAATTGTCGAAACGATCTCACATCTCCCCTCGCCCTTCATTTCCACTTCACTAGAAATATATTTTTGATTGGACTTGCCCCTTGGGACCTCCTTGATTCCCACAACTTTTTCCTAGACACAGTTTACATTTCACTTACAATCAATATTGTGGCCTCTTTCAATTGCTTCACATATTTTATTTATTGGGGTAAAATGTATTTGAAGCGATTGATTGCTATTTATTAAAAATGTTTTGATTTTGAAAGGGATTTGCTGATTTTATTGGCATATTATTCATATTCGAAAACTTTTAATTTAAGCGCGATTCAGATTACTAATTACGGGTAATTTGGTTATCTTAAATATGCAAAGAGCGATAAGATAAATAAAACAAATATTAGCTTAAAAGAATTATTCCTCTGGCCGGTAAAAATATTGATTATTTCTGTCTATAATTGAATTTTGTTGTATAGGCTTAAATATTTTTAAATAAAAACTCCAAAGAAAAGAAATCTTAAAATAATTTAAGTGTTATTTAAAATGCAAACATGATTGGAATTTGACAGCAAATGATTTCGCAGTTTATTTAAGATTAGATTAGGCCTCTAAAATCTTCCATAGAACAGTAAACATCCAGCAAATACAAGCTCTGAACAAGCCCCCTAACCTAAGTATTGTATCTCCCTTTATATGTTTGGCAATTTAAGGAGATATATAAAAGTACTTCAGTAAATGCCAGTAAATAAACCACAGCAGACCCTATTTAATCGAAACCGATTGCCCTACAAAAAAGACCAAGGGCGTAGCGTTGCTATTATATCAATTTCACAAAGAAGCATTTATTGGTGAAGTGGTTCTCGCTTATCTCGCTTGGAACCAGAAGGTTCTTTAGTATTCCTCAAAGCAAATAATATGTTTATTTGTTTTGTTAATATTTTGATATTTATTTGATAATTCATAATCATTTAAGACTAATTAAATTGGTCTACACATTTATTGAAAAACAAGAAGAGAATCAAACATTATTACATTTTAAATGTGAAACAAAAAAGGTAATAAGCGTCAGCAAGCAAATGTTTATATACCCTTCAGAAATACAATATAATTCTAAAAAAAACTCTATTTTTTTGATTTTTATTCGTATTTGTTTAAGAACAATTTTTAATACAGTATTCGATCGTTTCTATGTCATATATATGATATAGTCGTCTGATCAAAATCTTATTTTTGAAATAATAACTAATAAAACTCTTTATCATTGTTTATTTGTTATTGTTATTGTTATTTATTATTTGTATAAATTTATTTTTTTAATTTTCCTATTGTTCTTATGGGAGCGATATGATATAGTCGTCGATCCGGCCCATTTCGACTTATAGACTGCAATTATAATATTCTCTTTAAGGGGATTATTATTAATATATTATTATTTATATAGCTTATAATTTGTAGACCTTTGTATACATTTGTATTGCTGAATCTTTTTAAATGAAAAAAAAAATGAACCACGAAAGATAATTTCTATTTTTCATATGTACGCTTTAGAAAGGAAAGAGTAGCTTAATAAACCTATACAAATATTCTAACATTTGGGAAAAAACATAAAAATCCAAGATAAATATAAAATGCAAATTTGTATCACTTCTTACAAGTACACTCTTGCTTATTTAATTAAACTCTTTTATACAGGTAGTCTTTGACTTAGATCTTCAAGTTGACGCCGGGGTAACCCTTGGCATTCAGACCAGTGACCTGGTAGGTGGTACCAGCAGGGTCTGGCACGTCGAACTTTTGGGCTGTTGTCACATACAGAATATCCAAGTTGGGACCTCCAAAGGCGACCGAAGTGATTTGAGTGGTGGGAATTTTAATTTCCAGAAGTATTTTGCCGGTGCTGCATTAAATTACCAGTTATTCAATGTTCATCTTGGAATATGAAACTTTAAACTCACCTTGGATTGACCTTGAATACGGAACCTCCGTGGAAGGTGGCCACATAGATGTTTCCCTCCGTATCCACGGTCATGCCATCGGGGTACAATGGACCCTCTGGACGGATTTTCCTCAGATCGAAGATGACCTTTGGATTGCTTACGTCTCCGGTGCTCTGATTGTAGTCATAGGCCACCACCTCGAAGTTGTTTGTGTCGACGTAGTAGAACTTCTTGGCCTTGGTATCCCAGGCCAGGCCATTGGAGATGCCCACCTTTTCCCTAAGGCGCTTTGGCTGACCGCCGGCCTGCCAGCTGTAAAGATTACCCAGACCACTGCTTGAAGATGTCGCCTTCGCCGCTCATGGTGCCACCGTAAAAACGTCCGTTCGGGTCGGTTTTGGCATCATTAATTCGGTTGTCCTTCAGATCCGATTCAACCTCGAATAGGGTGCGCACGACCTTGGCCACTGCTGAGACTCCATCCCACTTGACAATGGAAACGCGACGAGCGCAACCAACAGCAAACTCCTGCGGTTTTTTGTCAATCGGCAGGATAAAGGAAGCGAAGGTCTCGCCCTCGATTTTCGCTTTGTACACCTTGTTCTGCTTGAAATCGTAGCGATTAATGCCGGCAGAATCGAGGTCCACGTAGTACAGACTCTGGGTGTCCACATCCCAGTGGGGTCCCTCGCCCAGACCGGCATGGGAACCGGGAATAGCTTCAACCTTGTATGACATCTGAAATTTGAAATATATTATAATCATCGTTTTTAATTTTGTATTATTTAGTTTACTCTTCAAAGCTGATAATTACATAAACAATGACCGAAACGTATTATATAGTAATTAAGTTTCTATACACAGTATAAAATAAACAACAAGCGCTTTGGAATTTAATTGCACATGAATGTGACACTCTCTCTTCTTTTTTTCTCACCTTTGAGATTTATTAATTATTGAGTGCTCGAAAACCGTTGAACACTTTTCAGTCAGCTCTAACGTACGCAAACTGAATTGAATCGCGTTAGTTGAAATGCTTTTATAGAGGTTCTCGCACCAATACATGCCGTATGCTATATAAAGCTGTTATCAGCTTATGACACCAACACACAAAAATATAGGCTAAATTAATTATTGAGGTAAGCTCCATCATCTATGATTGTGCAAAATTTTCAGCCACACTTAAATTAACTAGAGCTAGTTGATTCCTATTTCAACAAATATTTTGTTTAAGTCTTCTGATGTGTTAAATACATTTTATTTGGAATATGAAAAAAAAACAAATCAATCAAAATATATAAATAAATGTAAATATACTATTTTTTTAGAATATTAATTATACACTATTTTATTATTTTATAAATAGCACATAATATATGTATGTATATTGCGTCTACAACTTTTTAAAAATTTTAACAAGATATTAAATATTTTCAATAAAAAGGAAAATTAATTTTTTGCAATCCAAACCTAGCTATTAAATTTTAACTGTAATTATTTATCTCAGTTGTCTTATCAAATTCGTAAATATATTGCTACGAAATAATGCCATAACAATCTCATCACACATTTTTTAGATTTCATGAATTTATCAAACATCTATGTATGTCTATCTATTATCTTCGTTAATAAAAACATACATGTGTGGTAGATATAATTAACTATTGTTTTGCTTTTCATATTTTGATTTGGTAGCCATGGAGAGGCACTTAAAAAGTGTATGGAAATGAAAGGCCGTAAAACCAAAGGTTTACCACTACGGTTTGTCTTATCAATTTCCATAAACAACCAACTTAAACTCAAGTTGTTTTTCTTTTGAGAGTGCGAGCGGGTCATTGATTAAACCTTTTGCGGTGGTGCCATGGCAACTTGGTTTTTGTGTGTTGTGCCCTTCATGTGTCCCACTCGCACCCCAATGGAGTGGAGTGTCTTCTACGTACTCCTCGTATATAGTATGATATTAGTACGCGACTGTGTTTCTCTCTTGACTCCTTGGCGTGTAATTAAGCTGGCGGGGGGAGGGAGGTGGAGATAGATAAGAAAGGCCGTCCACTTGGACAGTGGGTCACTCGAGCGTCGTCTCCCCGCTTTGGTCTTTTACTGTACTTGTCCATGGCAGTTTTTCCTCTCCTTCATATGGCTCTGCAACATCAACACCAATGGCAACAACCATAATAAAAACTAATGAGTTGCTCGGTTGTTATACCCGTGGTTCGTAGTTACTGGGGTATACTACATTCGAGCAGAGATATGTAACAGAATCTGCAGTGGATATAAATGGACATCCATTCTTAAAAACTATATACTAAAAACTACAAATATACTAAGAATGTCCCAAATTTAATAACGATCAGAATAAATAATGATATAGAACTAATAGTACTCACAGTTGACCGGTGAGGATTCAGAATTATAGACAACTGAACTTGTCCTTTAAAACTCCAAAATAAGGACATTATGTAATAATATACAAAATTAAATAATGTATAATAATAAATAAACACTCAGGAAGAATGTAGTACTATATAACTTTCTATGGATCAGTCAAAATAATGATCTTAGTACCGGGTAATTTATAGTTCGGTATCCGTTCCAACTTGTTGTTGCTGACCGATGTTGCTGCTGTCTGCTATGTGTCTTTGGCCCAGTGCATTACCCTTTGCCACACTTTACACGCTTGCATTCTTTTGATTTCTTTATTTCTTTTGTGCTCCTCGTGGAGTTCTGTCTTAATTATCTGTAATTGATTACATCTAAGCGGGCGCCCTAAGTGGCGATTGTTTACCTAGAAATTAAACGCACCGAACAAACAGAGTGCGTAAACAAATAAAAACAAGCGTGAGTCTGGAGGGAAAATAACCTTTGCGATGATAGGATCCTCAAAAATGAAAAGCCGAAGATGATGCAGCAGATGCAGGCTGTGCATTGATACACGATAATGCTCTTAAGTGCTTGAAAACACTCTGTGTCCCTGAGTTTTGCTCACTCTCAATTTCTGACTGCTCTTTATTCAGCTGGCTGAATAAAAATTACTCACTCAAAATTATAAATACCAGGAAAAGGTATTGTTTTTTTCAAGAAATAGTTTACCACTGTTTTTGAGCCTATTTTTAATATAGAGTTGTTAAGGGGAAGTTTATTTATATTTGAAAATTGGTATGAAAACTTTGCTGGAACCAAAACTTAGACCAAGTTTCTTTTGCGTTTTCCACTCAACGCTCACATGACTCATGACAGCAAAGCGCTAGCAGCTGTCAGGGCTAGCAGTTAGCCGCTAGAGAGTTTCACTCGACTCTCGCTCTTGCTCAGCCGTACTCTCCACCGCATTTTCTCTCTCTGTAAATGTATCTCATTCAGCAAAACTCAGCTATCGGCTCGCAGCTGTTGGAGAGTGAGACTCTGGCAGTATTTTCCTTTAGTTGTCAAACAATTGCAGAGCGGCGTACAACGCGATATCGCTTTGCTGGATTATTTTTTTCGTCGTATCTAGTACTGAAATTGTATCATCTGCGAGATACACGCATATTCTTCTGCCTAGCACACGTGTTACAATATTTTGTAAGCAAATATATACATAACAAATACGAGTGTTCAAGGGCCCCAAACAAAGAGCAGATTCTGCGTCATCTGATCTCGGGGAGCTGAATCACTTCACAACCTTTATTCTCATCGCGAGTGTCGGTGAATTGTATCTGTGTGATGCGAAGACGCGCTTCGATCGCGTTCTACATTTTCGATTCGGTATAATTAAAACCGGGCACACAGAAAATAAATAAAAACCAAGAGATCGGCTCTGTTTTTGCATACTAAATAATCAATAAAATATATCAAGTTGTTGTGCCAGGTATTACGAAACCCCGGCACTAAAAGTGAAATTTTTAACGCAACTGCCCGAAAGTTCCCCATAGCAAAACCGAAAAATATTTATCTCCGTGTGTTGGCAAAAAAAAAATGAAAAGTGACTTGTGACCATATCAGAGAAATCAAATGATTCCGCAGTCGAAAATATCAGTAAATAAAACCTAAATAAACCCACTTAGACGGTGCAGCGCTTTCATTTGGATTAATCAATTTTCATTTTCGGACAACCAACCAACAGGCATGCTTTACAGCGTTTTCCACATTCTGCCGAGACCCGTTTTAAATGAGATTTAACTAGATAAATGGTGCGTATTTTCAAGCCTTCTAGTTCATATAACCCAAATAAGCTTTGATAAATTGAATTCCTCACACACCAGTTTTCTGAAACTGCTAGCGGAAGTCGAAATCACTTTAAATCCGATCAATTTAATGATGTATTTCTTGTGAATGTTTAAATTTTTTTTTTAGTTTGGTGAAGGTTTTTTTGGTTATTGTGTTGTGATGATCGATCCGATCTATAATTTTATTTCTCTGGCATTTACAATAACAAATATTTTAAAAATATCAATTCCATGGTTATGATATTACTAAAATGCTTTAGAAATATAACAAGGGAAAACAAGGCCTATGGAAAAGCCCATATTCCTTCTTTGATAATAATATTAAAGTGCCGGTATTATTCATGAATAATACATGTATGTGTATCAAATGTTTATTAGTCGTTTTCCAGACTTATTATATCAATATATGACTAACGAATTAAATATTTATTTTTAAACAATAAATGTATTTCCTTTCTTGAAGGTTTAGATTCTAAGTTCATCCACCTCTGATACACCCGCATTCCGCTAATAACCTTTCCCAACACGAATAATTTACTGCACATACCATACCACCCCAATCCCTGCCTGCATATTTTTTTCATTGCAATTTTTTTAACCACCCCATTTGGACAACCTCTTCTGTAACCTTCTGCATTACTTAGCTAATTACATAGACAAGCTACGAAATGACCAAGACAGAGAGACTACCTCTTTCGCTCCTCACTATATTTATCTTGTTAATTAAGAAGATAGCTAACTACGGGTTCATTTTTAATTGTTACAAGACGGTAATTTGTATGCAAGCCAACTACTGGGACTTCGTTTAGAGATCTTAAGAGGCTGTTATTATTTTATTCTCGAGTTCTACTCGACTCACTTGTGTCATTCATTTCGGATTGATTATGCACGGTCTTGACTCGGTTGAAAGCACACCCCTCTGGTACTCAAATATATATTATTCAACTAGAGCCATTTCCATGCGGGTTTTTCGGTTTAACTCCCCGCGTTAAGTCAGTTTGCTATATAGCAATTATTATTGTATTCCACTCGCCTCATATCTGGGAAACATTGTTTGGGGTCTTTGTGTGTGTGGGTTTGTGTTTCTGCCTTCTTTGTTTAATTTTTGCCCTGCTCTGTTGGCATTTTTAATTGTTTTGGCTGCGTTTTGTTCGCTTTTTTATATTATTGTTTGATTCAGCTTTTTTCCTTTTTTTGTTTGTTCGGGGAAATTGTCGCCAAAGCTTTGTCCATTTTATATTTTAAGCTAAATTAAAAAACAAAAACATAGAATGCAACTTGTTTTAGCCATACGTTGGTTAATTAAGTTCTCAACCCAATTGGTGCCTTTCTTTTTCATTTTTATTTTACACGTTTGGTTTTGACTTTTGTTTTCTTTTTGTAGCTTATTGCTTTATCTGGATATAAAAAAGAGCATAAATAAAATGGAGAGCAAAACTAATTAAAAACGTTTTCTTATTGCGAAAGCTTTTGGGAAGTGTACGAAGATATACTGTTGAGCTTTGTTACCATACACCACTGAAAACTATTTTTGAATGTACAGCTTTGGGGCCTAATGATTTCTTGAAATCGTATTGTTAAAAGCTGATCTCTATAACCCTTCTCTTTTTTATGCTTATTGGTTTATGTTTAAAACACACCTTTTTAATAAGATATTAATTCAAAAGAAAATGTTCTTAAGTCAATAATTCTATCCTTGACATCAAAATAGTAGAAATATACTGACCTTTTCAGACTGCTCCTCGCATTCGTCGATTTTTACTAATTTGCAGCTTACAGGTTTCGCTTCACAGGATTTTTCAGATTCTTCTTTCCGTTTTTTCTCAGCTTCCGCTTGCGCTTGTCTTTCTTTTTTCAACTGTTTGCATTTCGATGTGTAATCGTCCTTCTGCGGACATTCCTTCTTCGGGCAGACATTTAAATTTTCTTCGGATGTTGCACAATTTTCTGTCAGTCTTTTCTGACTACACTCCTCCTCCTCGCGCTTTCTTTGGCAATCTTGCTCCGGTTTCAGCTTTTGGCATTTCTTCTTTAGAGCCATCTCTTTGCACCGCTGTTCGAGGGCTAATTTCCGACAGTGCTCCTCCTGATCCTGCTCGGCTGTAGTCTGTTGTCGGATGTGGAACAGGCGGAAGGTGATCTGGTCCGCCGACATGGCATTAACCAGCACCATCGATCCCATTTGCCCTGGCTCGAGAATGTTCAACTTGGCTATTAGCTTTAAGCCCGACTGAATGATGCATCGAAAGTTAAAGCTACCGTGGACCATTTCCTCGACGAGCAGTGGGTACACGCCTCGAAAGATCAGGGAATGGGCCGCCTGGGACTGACAGCCAGTGAGCATTACGATGGGGCATGGTGGCCGCATGTGACTGACCATCTGGGCCACCATGGAGCACGGACTGGCCACCACTATTGCCCGGGCCTGGCCCACCGTGGCAGCCTCTGCGATTGCTGTGGTCACCGCCGAAATGTGATCGGCGGCACTGGTTCTGATCTCCCTTTTGAGGCTGTTCCGCAGACACTCGTACCATAGAACCGCCTCGACCTTGGCACAGATCCTGGCCATGCACTGCACACATTCCACCGGATACTTGCCCTTGGCCGTTTCGCCGGACAGCATTACGGCATCGCATCCATCGAAGATCGCATTGGCCACATCCGTGGCCTCGGCACGTGTGGGTCGCGGCTTGGTCATCATCGAGTCCATCATCTGGGTGGCACAGATCACCGGCTTGCCCACTTTGTTGCACTTGGCCACGATCGACTTCTGGGCCAGCGGCACATCCTCCGTTGGAATCTCGATGCCCATATCGCCGCGAGCCACCATTATGCCATCGAACTCGCGGATAATTTCGTCTATGTGGGCCAGACCCTGATGGTTCTCGATCTTGGCGATGATCTTTATGTGTTCACTCTTCGGTCCCAGTGCTTGGCGCATTTCGGTCAGAGCCTTGGCATCGCGGATGAACGACGCAAAGATCATGTCCACCTGCTGCTCCGCACCGAATTTGAGGTCCCGCTTATCCTGCTCGGTTACGGCGGGAAGATCTACCGGAATGCCAGGTAGATTGATTCCCTTGCGGGAGCCCAGTTTACCACCGTTCTCCACCTGGCAGATCACCTCATCGGCCGTGGATTCCTTTACCATTAGGGCAATTAAGCCGTCGTCGACAAAGATGAGGTTTCCAGGCTTCACAACGGAAGGTAATCGCTGATAGTCCACGTAGATCTTCTCCTTGGTGCAGTTCGCCTCCAGCTCCTTCTTTGTGCTCAGCGTGATCTTGTCGCCGGCCTTGAGTTCGATCTCGGCGGTGTCACTGCCACCGGCTAACTTTCCTGTCCGGATCTCCGGACCCTTGGTGTCCAGGGCAATGGCCACGGTCCTGGGCAGACCCGTTTGCTCCACGTACATGGAGATGGCCTTGCGCGCCGCCTGGATCGTCTTGCAATGGTATTCGTGGGTGCCGTGGGAGAAGTTAATACGCACCACCCGCATCCCGGCATGGATCATTTCCAGGAGAACTTCAGGACAGTTGGATGAGGGTCCAATGGTGCATATTATGCCACTGAGGGGCAACCTTAGAGCGGGTGCTTGGAACTGCAGCCGAGATTGGTAGTCCAGCTGGGAAAAGAAGGGTCCGCGGTCCAGCCTGAACTTCGATGGTTCCTAGAGGAGATTTGTCTGGCCAGTGATGGACTAACGAATCCAGTGTCGACTCACCATCTTCTTTTTGCAATGGCCAGCATTGCAGCGACATATTAGCATCGATAGGGAACTAGGACATCGGGACACATTGCAGAGGATCGCCCTCCGGCAAAGATTTCCGGCGTATGTCCGAATTTTGAAAACAAATTTGAGGAAACAAAATAAAATATATTTAAAATTGTATCTGTCAAGTCTAAACAGTTAAAACCAAAAGAAAGATATTACTTTATAGTGTTATTTATATTTTAGATTGTGTTTTTTTTCAAACGATTTTTAAATAATAAATAAATTATTTTAATAATTGTACCATTTAAAACACTCCTTGGAAAAGAAGTTGAGAATTGAGAGCCTTATCACAACCTACATCGGAAACCAATACAAATTTTCTTACATATACTCAGTTGTTTGTTGTGCCGAGTGCTCATATCAGCCAATTTTTTCTTTGAAATTTCCATTCTGTTTTGACAGTCGCTCAGTAGACTGATTCATTCACTTGCGCAATTTGTCCAACTCATCGCAGTTATTGTTTTGTTTGCTTAGAACGCAAATGCATTTGCCACAGCTGTCTGAATAATAGAGTGCAGTTAAAAGATATAGTAGGCAAGTTTTAACCTTGAGGTCCTGAAAAAGCCAAATAAAAAGCCCGTTATTTGCACTTTGTCTGGTTGTTTAACATTCGACTCTTAGCCGGTCGTAGTCTTTGTATTTCTGACTTGTGATATTTCGCACATTCACCAATTCACACACATATGTATGTGTTTGCCCCTTACACCCGTCCCTGGGAAATGGCACAATGCCGATATTATATGCTTATATATACTTCAATTTATTTTTTATTCATTTGCAAATTAAGTCGTATAATAATATTATAATAACTCGGTTGCAATTGTCATGTGATTTTTCGTAGAAAATAAATTTATACGACTGCTGCGTACCGATTGATGATGCATGATTTAACTCTTCTGCTTGGTGTGTTTCTTTATTGTATTATTTAGACTTTCATTTATAAGTAGCCATTTGTATTAATAAATATATATATATTTATAAAAATAACCATTTAAAACATATAAATGACTTTGATTACGTTGTATAATTCTTCTAAATCTTTGCTTTAAAATGATGTTCCTTCTATATTGTTACTAATACTGACGAATCAAGGTAACGAATCAAGGTATCAATTATTCTGTAATAATTTATTCCATCACAGAATAAGTAATACCTTATCGTTTACTTTGTCGTTTAGCTTTTGGTTGATTGTTGTTCGTTTTAAGTTTTCATTTTCGGCTTGCTTTGTGCTCGTGTGTTTTTGTCATTGCCTTGCCATTGTTCGCCTGACTTTTCTCACTCTCGTGCCCTGTTCTACTTTCTATGGCGCTGATCCATGGGTGGATTGAAAAGTTTCACGGATATCGCTCAGACACACGTAGATGCCGGCAGTCGCACTGTATAAATCATCATAATTTCGTAACAATTGAATTTAGAGCGTAATTGCCGTAAATAAGATGAAATTGCAATGACTGAGAAATAATAATCGAGAGTCGAGTAGAGTGGAGTGGAGTGGAGCCAAACTAAATGGAGTCGAGGTGCAGAGCACGAGCCGCTGGTCCGATGGGAGCATTGAGCCAAGTCGGGGCATAAATTGCGCTAATAAAGCGCACAATTAAAGTCACCATCGCCAGCGTTCCGTCGCTGTCGTTGAGCAAATTGGCAACACTTTCCAATCGAAACGAGTTGCAGATTCGCTGGAAACAAACTTCTTTTTAACGCTCTGATGCTGATTTGGCAATTTTCAAAAATAAAATAAAAATGAATTTGGGTTAGATGAGCGAGTTAGCCCCCGAAAGTTGTATCTCATCGGTGCAGCGAATTTTTGTCAAATATGTTTGCCCGGCTGCTTGCGGCGAGGAATGCGGAAATATTGTTTCTTTTCTTCTCTATTCAGCTGCTTTTGCCTATCTCTGTTTACGTGCACTTTCCACGGCTTTTCCTCCCGCTTTTCGCCGCATCTGCATCTGTTTGTTTTGAGATATTTTCGCGCTTCGCGCTGCCGTTTTATTTTTTCCCTCTTTTTTCAACGAGCTCATGATGATTTCGTGTTATATAGTATTTGTTGCCATGTGGTGGCCAGGCAAATGCATTTCCACACATTTTCTTTCGTGCATGACATTAAAGTTTTAAATTTAACAACCAGCCAAATGCCGGTCTGTTCGTTCTTCGTCTCGTAGATAGTTCCCTCGCTTTGTTTTTACTCTTTGTCGTTTTGACGACACTTAACTCTTGCGAGCACTTGTGAACTTTGCCAAGTGCGTCAAAAGTCGCGCCCCACTTTCCAAACTCTAAAGTTTAAAAGTCAATATTTTATTTTGCTTGCAAATAATTTCATTGAATAAATGTTTCGATTTCAGTTTAATCGAGAGCAAAATCAATAAAAACTTATTAGGAATTGCTAAACAAAAGCTATTTGCGGTTATTCTTCAAGGACTTTTATATTTTACAATTTTGTCATTAATTTTACTTAAAAAGGATGTTATAAATACATATGTATAAATAAACTAAAATAAATAAATAAAACTATTCAATTTACAAATTAATTTTTAATTTAAAAAAATATCGATTACAAAACATTTTACATTACACATTTTTTTGTAATTTTTATTCGGTATGACTTGCAATATTTTATTTTTTTAAACTAAAAACTAAACTGTAATAAGAGTTGATATTTGAAAATGTACAAGGGCAAGTGATTTCTGCTTTAATAACTATATTATTTTAGGTCTTTAACATTTCCAAAATAATGACTCGATTTCACCGCAGCCACGTAAATTAAAATCAAGCTTGCTTGTCAACAGACATTGCGCATACGCCGCATTGCACAGCAAAGCAAGACGAACTGCATTTTATTTAGCGTTTGCTTGCTGAGCTTGCGTGCCCAGTGAATGGCAGTCGCTGTCTTCATTCTCATTCCCGTTTCGTTTATTTTGGGAACTCTTTTCTTCAGACAAGCAAGTCGTGCAAATGTCAAAAGTGTGACAAACATTTTGTGGAAATTCGGTTCATTATTCGACCAAAGTGACCCCATTCAAAAAACTGATTACAACGATGATTACCATCCCCAGACAGTCTTCCCTCAGCACGCTTCTAATTTCTTTGAGCCCGGCTTTCTTGGAGCTTGGACTTTGGTAGTATCTTCATCTCCGTTGCCGGCCAGGCACGATTTACTGCCACATTTAGATTTAAACTTGAAAATTTGTTGCTGCAACTGGCATTGCTATTTTTACCATTTTAACCAGCACGTTCTACAAGTTTTTGCGGCTACCTGCCGCGCTACGTGGGAAGTTGGAATGGGAATGAAAATGGTTTGCTGCAAATGTTTGTCCAAACTGGACGCATTGTTTGGCCGTCACCACTGTTGGCCAAAAGGAAATGTTTTCCTAGGCTGCCTTGAAGCGCAACCAAGTTGTTGACTCGGCGGCCGGGTTTGTTGACTTGTCTCTCGATTTATCTGCGTGTTAATTTGAGCAATTAACATGGTAAATTAAGGAAGCACCAATTCGCCGTAGATATTTTCAACATAAATACACACCTAAGGCTGCCCGGGTTGCTTGTTAACCTGCCAACTACAACATGATCAACATCTCATTGTCTGATTTTTTTCTCCTTTACTGTTTTTCAGTTAACTCTTTGCGTTAAAACAAGCCAAACAGTTACCGTAAAAATGAAGTCTAAAGCTGGGTAAATGAGGAAATGTTTATAATGATTTTGAAAAAATAAAAAAATAAATTTATTTTCAAAAATTACCCAAGAAGTAAATCAATTAATCATCCACTTTAATTTGGCAACATCTTCAAATTAAGTTATTAATTAAAAGTAACTTATTTTGAGGCTATTGCTAGGAAGCATTTCAGAAATTGAAAAGCTACTTAATTAATTAATTAGCTATACCATTTATTTTTTAAAATATTAGGATTTAGTAGAATTAGTATTCAAAACTTGAATCTGACTTATGTTTATTTAATTTAGGATTGTACAGTATCCTCCTCTTTGAATTAAAACCACCATAACATTTATTATACTATTTATTGTCCAGCTTCTAAATATGGCACAAACTACCTCATAGAAATTCGATTAGTCACTTATGTTGTATACATACATAAATACCAAATAGTATCTTTGGTAGTTGGCTTTCCTCTTGCATTGCCGACTTCCACACAAGTTTTTAATGCTTTTTAAACAGAGTATAAAAACCACCTTGCGCCCAGTTAGTCATTCGGCACACTCAAACGTGTATATATAAATATAGCCACAAGCCCCGATATGGCCGGTATACAGTTAACCAATTGTTAACCCAAATGTGCTGCCAACTGATACGAAAAGAGAAGGGGCGCGGCACGAGCTGGGGGGGATCCATCGAGGTGCGCCTGCGCGCAGCACATTGCCAACTGATTTGCTGCGCATTGATTGAAGGGTAAATTACACCTTGCCACATGCGATTCGATGCGAATCAACCCGATGACGGACACATAAACGGCGGTCCAAGATTACTTGTACAGGGGTGCACATGGAGATACCTTCTCATTTAATTTTAGGAAACCGAAAGAATTAAGGATAAGAAAGAATGAAGTATTAAATTATAAAAATAAATTTATTTAAGAGCTTAAATATGGTTGAATATCCCAATATCAATTGAATAGTTTTAATCATCTCTGAATAATAACATTTAACAATGTTACATGTAAACAATATTATATTAAAATTTTATATGGCAAAAGCTATATTATAAATATATTATAAATATTATTTAAATTTTAAATTTATCTGGATTTGTATATGTTACAAAAATTCATCTAGTTTATATGTATAACGAAATGTGTTATTGTTTTCCATGCAACAAGGCCACCCTTGGCTTTAGCTCAGCTTATCTTAGTATTATTTTTATACGGAATAATACTGAATGCAATTTT